GTATATATTCATTCATTCATTCATCTTCCGAACCGCTTGATCCTCACTAGGGTCGCGGGGGGCGCTGGAGCCCATCCCAGCTGTCTTCGGGCAGCAGGCGGGGGACACCCTGAACCGGTTGCCAGCCAATCGCAGGAAGACTGTATATATACAGTGTGTGTATATATATATACTGTATATCATTTCTTTTCATACATGTTAAAAATATTAACAATACCATCGATTTTGCAAGATTCAACACTCACATCACATCTGGCATGTTTTTTCCTATATCGTGCAGCTCTACTAACTGTAATGAAAGCTCCAAAACTTTTAGAATACTGGTACTCAGAATAAACCCACGCAAGTACGGGGAGATTAAGCAACCTCCACACAGGAAAGCCAGAGTTGAAATTCAAACCCAGAATCTTACAACTATGAGGCAGATTTGTTAACATCTCGTTCTGCCTTTTCGTTTTTTTCCATTTGTAATTTAGATATATTTAATTTTAATTAGCAACGTGCCAAGATTTCCAAAATATGACAGTCGTCAGAATGCTCAGTCTGGTTTGAAAGGCCACTTTGATCTTAATGCAGCACACCAAGAATTTTCAAAATTGGTCGATGGGGTCTGGAGAATTAGATTTTTTTAATTTAAATTTTTCTTTCTTTGTTTTTTGATATTGGGGAAAATTTGCCTTTTGGGGGAATGTTGGTGTGATAACTCATTTAGAAAATATGGTCAAAAAACACCTTCAAATTAGAGTAAAATGGTGTGACGTCATTATTTCTCCACATTTGATTCAAGGATGTAAGCCCTTTGGGTTTAGCTGTATTGACCGGGATTTCTTACAGGTCAGCTAGGGTGTAAGAAGGACGAGTTCTCCTGCCTCAGCAGCAGACGATGCCTACCCTCACGCTTGTCGTGTAACGGCGTGGATGACTGCGGCGATGGCAGCGACGAGCACTCCTGTCCGAGCTGCGCCGCCGGCCTCTTCTCCTGCGGGCCATCCGACCGCTGCCTGCACAAACGCCGGTTGTGTGACGGACACATGGACTGCAAAGACGGGCGGGATGAGATCCAGGAGTTATGTGGTTTGAGGCCAGCCAGCCGACTGAGCGCTCCCTCTTGTGAGGTGTCCGAGTTTGATTGTGGTGACGGCCAGTGCGTCCCTCACGCTTGGAGGTGTGACAACAAAGCAGACTGTTCAGATGCCAGCGACGAGGACAACTGTGGTAAGGGAACACATGTAACTAGCGCCTCTTCTATTTTAGCCATACGTCAACTGCTGTAGGACAATAAAAGGCACTTTTAGTCGACTCCATCAACTCATGTTGGCACCTACAACAACATAGTTTTCATGATTAAATAAAGAAACTCTCATTTTCCCTAAGGCAACTGTCAATGCTGCACAGTAATTGTCTTTTTCAAGGTCATAACAAAACCACATCTATGAATATTTAACACACCCAAAAAAATGTTTCTAGACATTCGGAACTATGAACCGATAGGTTCAACGCCACCATTTCAAAAACATGAATGTTCGGATCGTTGCAGATTACACGGCAGCCTGCAGAGGGCAGCACAGTCCTGCTGTTAGGTCCATTTGTGAGTGACGATGTCGATGTATGAATTGAAGTAAATCTATCACACTGAGCTTTTACCAATATTTTCTTTGTAATGTGCTACATGATTAGGTAAAAAAAAATAACGTGTGAACATGGTATTTATTCATAATATTCTTCTTTTAATTACCGGGAGGACCAGCAGTATTGGACACTACCGATAATTTTCTTGTCCATATTTGTTCTCTAGCTCTGTCTTGCTCTCTCTTTTTCAGTTTTGTTAAGTAAAGCACAGTGTAACACATCCATTCGGTCACAAACTTTACTGATGATCTTGCATTGTTCCTTACTCTTACTATTAGCGTCAAAGTTAAATTTCATGCGCACCTTTTATCACGGCAAATACAATTTGACACACCCTGCTTTCGCAAGGTGTGTCAAAAAGTGGCGTTTTATTTGCTTGTTGTTCTTTTACACCCGCCTCATCCATCATCTTATCAATACAGTAACTTCCCGCAAGTGCTGATGATGTAACATCTCCATTTGCTTGCTCCATGTACAGCACGTTGTGTGCAGCGATGGCTGTTTGAAAGTGCTCTATAAATACATTTGAGTTGAGTTGAGTAACATCTGTCCTTGCAGAGCAGAACGAGTGTCTGGTCAATAATGGAGGCTGTTCCCATCATTGCGTGGACACAGGGATGGGCTTCCACTGTGAATGTCCTGATCACATGAGACTTGTCGGGAATAGTCACTGTGAAGGTATCTTCGTTAGTTGTCGCTACCTGGAGGCTTAATGGCCAGTGTTCCGATATATTTGGCAATGCAGTGTATGATGCCGCCTTCCAGACTACTGGGAAGTTAGAAAAGTCCTATATGTAGTAACCAAGAGCAGACATTAAGGGGCCCCAGCCAAAAGTTATCATAACTTGTGAATTCCCTTTTAATTTGTGAAAATTCCTGGTAGGGAGAGATCATGTTAAAAGCATTTATTATTATTATTTTTAAATATAAATAGTCCCACCTGTTACTCATTTAAACTCATGAAAACAAAGTGCCTGTTCTCACACTTGCTTTCAGTTCAAATAAAATGCAGTGTGTAAAGCTGAAATAAACTAAGCGTATTAAGCATTGTGTACACCAAAATGTTCACCCAAACCATATACAATTGTCGAGGGAAAGTCCTTTTGTGTTAATGCGAACACATAATGTGAAACACCATAGATTGTTTGCTCACGGAAATTAGCATAGATATCACTGTGATTATAAATTGCTTCTTGAACACACATAGAGCTGCACTACAGAAAAACTCTCCAAAGCAGTTTTTGTAAAACGGTACAACCGTGGCAGGTGGAAGTCCACCTTACATCTATCCTGACACAATGTTTCCATTTTGTCACACAGAGGTGGATCTTTGCCTGGAGAGCGACCTTTGTGATCAAATGTGCGTTCACATTAATGGCACCCTCTCCTGTGGCTGCCTCGACGGATATCAATTGAGCCCTACGAGCGGAGACTGCAAGGCAAAAGGTGAGCAGCGCGTATCGCTAGCCCATCCCCCTGTCAAATCCTTTGGGATGTTAAGTCATGTTTACTGCATCTCACAAAAGTGAGCATGCTCATCACATTTTTGGAAACATTTTATTACGGTCCACTTTTCCATGGGATAACACTAAATAAATGACAGGTTGCTACAATGCAAATTGCCTCACAATTTAAGTTTCGGGGTTCAAGTCTGGGTTTGCCTGTTCTCTACATGCTTGCATGTGTCTGTCTGCGCTCCGCCCATTCATCCATCCATTTTCCAATCTGCTTATCCTCACGAGGGTTGCGGACATGCTCGAGCCTATCCCAGCCGTCCTGAGGGAGTACGCGGAGTACACCTTGAACCGGTTGCCAGCCAATCGCAGGGCACACAAAGACGAACAACCATCCACGCTCTCACTCACAACTAGGGACAATTTAGAGTGTTCAATCAGCCTGCCATGCATGTTATTGGAATATGGGAGGAAACTGGAGTACCCGGAGAAAACCCACGCAGGCACGGGGAGAACATGCAAACTCCACACAGGAAAGCCGGAGCTGGAATCGAACCCGGCACCTATGTACTGTGAGGTTGACGCGCTAACCACTCGCCCACCGGGCCGCGCCGCCTGCTCTCCACCCATATTCCCAAAACATGTTGGGTTCATAAAGGCTTGTTTGTATGTGCCCTGCTATTGACTGGTGACGGGTCCAAGGTGTAGTCCGGCTCTTGTCCAAAATCAGCAGGGATAGACTTCAGCATACCCATGACCTTGGACAGGATAATCGGTCAAAAAAGGAGGGAGCGGTGTCGTATTAAAGTTAAGTCATCCATAAAGTCTGTCGAGTTCAGTGATACTGTATAGCGTTTGTGAACCATCAGATCATGGTTACTGAGGTGTAACTTGTTGGGTAATAGAAGTGCAATCTGTCTCAAACAGAAACACAAGGGTCCAGGTGTTTGAACAAGATTTAACCATTGCCAACGCTGTTTGCAGAGCACGTTTAGTCAGTCATTGACTGGAGCAGGTTGGTTCAAGCTCATTTGAATTGTGCAAAGAGTGGCTCCACCTTTTGGGTCTTGTAAAGGGGACTTTCCTGTACAAATCCATAAAAAAAAATCATTCACCCTCAGCTGAGTCATTCTCATGAAAACAATCAAACAACCCTTTCCTTTGTGTGCACTTAGTGTGGGACTATGCTCCTATTCTAGCAAGATGTCTGTTACGCATACATCTATTTGGTCCATTGCTTCTCCTCATTCGGTGGGGTACACCCTGGACTGGTCACCAGTTAACTGCAAGGCACATATAGATAAACAAACATTCACCCTTTCAATCTAAGGGCAATTGTTGAGCCTTTACTAAACCCAAGATGCATGTTTTTGGAGTGTGGGCGGAAGCCACAGTACCTGGAGAGAACCACACGCAAGCATGCTGACAACGTGCAAACTCCACACATGAAGGCCGGAGTGCAGATTCGAAACCCAAAATCTCAGAACTGGAGGTGTATGTACAGCAGGGGTTTCAAACTCATTTTTTGTCGCGGGCCACATTATAGTTCCCGGTTCCGTTGGAGGGCCGTTATGACTGTGAAACAATTTAAGGAAGTCAAGAATAATGGTTTATTCAACTATAGTTTAAGTTACTGTAATGAGGGTTTTTGGTAACAAGAACATTTACTAATAGCTCTCTTGTATATTACATATGAGAATTTGAAATTTTGGTTAAAATTTTAGCAAGCATCATAGAAGTCAACATGTTTGATTTGCTTTCGCGGGCCACATCAAATGATGTGGTGGGCCAGATCTGGCCCCCAGGCCTTTAGTTTGACACATGATGAATAGCATGACCGCTACCCTACCATCCCACTCAGCCTCAGGTATGCTATCTGAAGTTTTTGAGAAGCGTTTATAAGATCAGGCTTTACTGGAGGAATCAGTAGACATTCCATCTACAAAAAAAAAAAAAAAAAGGCCGTAGACAGCATGAAATGTCGAGATAATTAATTCCCTCTGAGATGATACACCAAAGACCTACAACTAATATAGTGTTGGATTTTGACGTTGCAAAATGCACAAATTATTTTTCCGTCTTTGTCCGTCGTCACGCTAGTAAATCTGTTCAAAAATTCGCTGCTAATGTTGGTGCCATCTTTTATAGCTGGAGAGATTATTATTATTATTATTCGATCAAATGTCCATAATGTACTTTATGTTGCTCCAGGGGTTGATGCAAAGCTGCTTGTGTCCACATCTGAGGGAGTTATTGAGGTGGGCTTTGGTGGTGCAACCTCTAGGACTTTGGCAGTAAATGTACCCGGACCGGGGCCTCTGGCAGCCTTGGAAGTTAAAAACATCCTGTACATGGCTCAGCAAGGACAGGGGTCCATTTACAGGTAATATAGAGGAGAGTGTGCCTGTACAACATTCCGAAATGTTATCGGATGGTTATAGCTCAAGGACAACAAGTCAGATCCAATTGTCAACACACATGGGAGTTCTCTTAATCCGTTTTCTAGTGTAGATCCTGGGTGGCCATACAGCAAAGCAAATATACTTTTATACAACACTTTGTTCTGTGCGTTTATGTTGCGCAAGGTGGCTGATGTCATTAAAAACTGACAGAGGACGATTGCAGTTTTATGACGTTTTATCCCTCTCACACTCTTTCAACATCTTTTAAAACACATTTACAAAAGTATAAGTTATTTGAACTTAAAAAAAATAAATTGCATCAAATCAAAATCATGTACGTATTGTACTTTCTGCGTAGAGTACTTTGGCGGTTGCGCGACGTTTAAGCTGATGCTAACGTGATGAATGTCGAGTCAAAGCCGATTGGTTGCTGATGATGTCATTGATAGTTTTTCACTGCTCGACTGAAAGTCATGCGAGGAATGCTTTGCCAATAATCAAAATTTGCCGGCGCTGGACAGCTCGCACACTGAATTGACGGCGAGCATACATAGTAAAACACAAGAAAGAGCATGGATGTGATCAGGAAGAGCACTCGTGTGCTGTGGCGTTCCAGCTGTGATCTAAAAAGATACCGTAAGTCTTAATCTTCACAGAAAGCATGATAGAAAGTCTGATGTAATTTGAGTGTGATTAACTTAACTACCAAACAATTGTAACTAACAGCTATAATCCAAGTTAACCCTTTCATGCATAAATCATGATAAACTGTAACATGATAAACTGTCCACTGTAGTAACCGCTGTCCCTGAAAGGCTTAACATAAAATGTTTTTTGTTTTTTGTTTTTTAATGGTGATTTTATTTATTCGGGGGGTGGGGGGGGGAAACTATTCAAAGATACCCGACTCCATGTGGAAAAACAACTGAGCCATCTTCCAAAAAGGATTTGATTTGATTCAATATGAATTTCAGGGGTCACCTAAGTGGAGAAGCCCAGGATGCTACATTGGCGCTGAATGTTCCCGGCCCTATCTCAGGCCTGACCCTGGATTGGATCCATCGTCTTCTGTTCTGGACCTCTTTGGAGAGTGATTCCATCCATGTCAGTTGGGTTGATGGCTCCCAGCAGCGCCAACTCCTCAAAGGACTGGACAAGCCTTGTGCGCTTACGGTGGATCCTCTGCATGGGTAGGAAGGCTAATTGTTAAGATTTGTGGATTTCTTTTTTCTTTTTCCATTTAAAATTTTTTTTATTTAGATATTTTTGTCCCTCTGGCTGTTAATACTATGTACAGTGGATATAAAAAAATGTACACTGCCCTGGTGAAATGTCAATAATTTGTGATAGTAAAAAAATGACAAGAAGAAATCATTGACAAACCTTTTTCACCATTCATGTGACCTTTCACCTTATTATAATTGGGGATGTGGCTGTGTTCAGACTCAAGCTATCACATTCAATCCCATTTTGAATGGGAGTCGGCACATACTGGCCACAATTTCAAGTGCCTCCGATTCACTCCAAATAAAGTTCGGAGCTTCTAGTAACTTTTTCCCTGACATTTTCTCAGTTTTGTTTCTATTTTGTGCGAGCTTTAACAGCATCAGAGGGATCTCATGTCCGTCAGAAGAAGGGTACAAAAGAATTTCCAAGGCATTGAATTTACCTTGAAGCACAGCGATGACAGTTATCCAGTGTAAAAATACGGCACGGCAGTGACATGAAGAACTGGGCGGCCAGTTGATGAAAAGATGAGAAGAAAAACTCATCTGGGAGGCTGTTAATTGGCCAACACACTGAAGGGCGCCACAGTGATTTCTAGCATGTGTTGTCAGTTTTCCTGTGACAACAATCTCTTATCTTAACCATGGAGGAAGTCTTATCTTGCAAGGCTTATGTTCCCTTCATGTTCCCTTCTTTTTTTTGTTAATCCCAAACGAATGTTTTCAAATCTTGCTCTACTCTGAGGACCTAACGGCGTTTGATACTAGTTGAATTAGATTTGGTGTTTAAACAATCCTGATCATGCCGTTCGCATTTTGACATCATGAGACCGAGTCGATATCCTACAAATAATCCCCATTTGTGATTTTTGCAGCTAATCTGGCTCTGAGTTTCGATTCACTAAATGTACCTATAAATGTTCTAGTGAGTTTGAGGTTTATCCAGAAATTTCATCCCAATGCTAAATAATGCGAACTTTTTGTGTGCAGCATACATCATAATTAATGCTAAACAAAGTACAAAAACTCAACCACTTGTGTTTTTCAGACTGCTCTTCTGGGCGCAGTGTGGCAGCCCACCAAAAATTCTCAGGGTGAACTTAGATGGTCAGGACAAAATGACTTTGGTCACCTCTCTCCTATACCATCCGGTTGCTCTTACTCTGGGTAAGTTTCTAGATAGATAGAAACTATCGCCATCCAGTGAGGGAGATGAAATGAAATGGCAATTGTGCAACGCAATGTTGGATCTTTATTCCTTTAGCCCCTTTTTGGGAAAACTTTGCATGCCTTTAGATACACATTATATTAAAATGGTAACAATTCTCAGTTTTACCTGCAACTATGAGAGCGGTAGTAATTCAGTTATTTTATTAATTATAATATGGTTCTGGCTGACTTTGTAGTTTGTAGTAGTGTGCAACTGCACTGCATCATAGCAGGAGAAATTATGGTAATATGTAGCACGTCATGAAAGGTCTTGCATGTCACTTGAGTGTCTTTGAAGTTCCTCATAGTTTCCATGTAATTTGGTGCTCCACCCCTAGATATGCCTCGCCAGTTGCTGTACTGGCTTGATAGCGGCATGAGAAGCATCTCCCGAGTGAAACTAGATGGGCGTCACCGCAAAACAGTGGTTGAGTCAAACGGCTATCTGGATAAGCCTTTTGGGCTGGCGGTGTTTGAGGTAAACAAATAATGCTGGAGTCTTCACCAAAAAAAAAAGATTAATCCTTTTGTAACATGAAACCTTAATGATAAAACGGCTCACAAAACCAAAATGCTTCTGTCTACCATAATTGCTCAAAGTCCTGTCGTCGTTCTGTCTGCAATGTCTTTTATGTTGAATGCAGGCCATTGATTCTATGGGGAAAACAATTAGTGTAAATCATGCCGTTTCGGAGTCATTGATACTGTATGTCTCTCATTGTTTGGTTGTAATACAAGTCGTCCCATTGCACTAAAAACCAATTTTTTATTTGTCATAACTTATGGCTTCTGCTTTAGGGTTTTGTGTACTGGAGTGACCAAGACACGCGCTCCATCTGCAGAGCCAACAAGCACAGCGGCAGCGACTTCCAACGACTTCTGACAAACGTCACCTCCCCAGGCGGCATCGCCATCATTCACCCTGCTCTTCAACCTCACAGTATGAGCAATTACTAAAAGCTGCCATTATGCTGAATTCCATCCATGAGGCCCTACAGCTGGCACTACTTTGCAAAACGAACAGTGTGTTCCACTTGTCCATAGGCAACGCTGCATGCGGCAGCCCCAGGAGGGTGTGCGCGCACGGATGCGTTGTTAATCTCCTTTCGGAGACTCCCAGCTTTCACTGTGTTGGAATGGGCCACAATGGATCGCATGGCATTCCTGCTATTTCCCGCGCCATTCCTGCGTCACGTTTGTCTGATCCTCGATTCGCAGGAATCCTCTCGCTAATTGGTAAGCAAGGCTTATCTTTCTTTAGCTTAAATTGTACTCTGGGTAGGGCAGAATTTCTCCAAGATTCAGAAGAACAGGAAAGATGCAAAGACGCGTGTTAAAGTGTTTATTGTTGAAGCCAAACAGACAGCAGCAAAGATGTACATGTAGATCTCAGTTTGCCGCCCCCCCCCCACCCCTCCCATATCATGTGAAAAAAACCCAGTGGATCAGAGTGCTAAACGTTAGCGCAGCTTGAAATATTCGCCCCATCAAAAGAAATGCTAGCGCTAATGCAACATGAGAGGTTTCCTGGCTGGTCCACCAATGCTGTCCTCCACTAAAGCAGGGGGAGATCCCGTGTTGCCACGGTAACTACAGCAGTACTTTTCTCCTTGTAACAAGCTGGTGTACCGTTTTAAAAAGTTATTTTAAGGCAACATTTTTAACATATTGTCACTCGTTTCCTGCATTCCGTTGAGCTTCCCAAGAGCCCTCTCATAATGGCCGATTTATTTAAAGCGAGGCCCGTTGCTCTCGCTGTGCGATTGATCTGCTCAGGGTTTGATGCTGTGACAACACTGTTGCCTTGGCAGCCAAGCTGAGTCCTAAACATTCACCGTGCAAATGTAATGGTGCATTCATGCAGCTGTCGCGCAACTGATTACACAGCACACAAGACGCTAAATATAGCAATGGAAAGGAGAAGCCGCCTTCTCCCTTCTGCCTCTGCTGTGTTTTTTGACACTTGGACAGCTTTGTGATCTTCATTTTAACCCCTTTGATAGCAATCTAAATGTTTGCTCACTTAAAGGAGAAATTGTTGGGTGAGTCATACATGTCAAGTATGTCACCCAAACCTCTCTCTGAGCAACGTGGGTGCGTGTGATTCTCCCAGTGTTCCTCAGTGTGCTGCTGGTGGGAACGGTTCTGTGGTGGTGGAGAGAGGAGTTTCGGCCCGTCAGGAATCTGACAATGCAAAGCTTTTCCCTCGAAGAGTCCCAGGACCCGCTCATCCAGGATCCACGTGCATGTCTCAGCAAGGCAAGACAACACATGCACATGCAGCATGGGAAGAATAGCATTTCACATAAGCTCGCGAGATATTTGAAAGTACGACACTAAAGTGTTGATTGACACCATGTCACTACAGTGGTACCTTGACCTATAAGTTTAATTTGATCTGTCAGCAAACTCATTACTCAATTTACTCTGGGGGGGATCAGTTCTCTCCTTTGAAATGAATTGAAATGCCGCTGATATGTTACAGCCTCCTAAAAAAAAAAAAAAAGTGAGGGTTTTGAAGAAAAAAAACATAGCACTGCATTGCAAAATATGATATATACAAATATAGTAAATTGTAATAAAGTGAATGTAAAAAGAAGAACAGTGGTTTTATGAAGTGTTAAGTCGGTAGACACCCACACATAATTCTTGCCTTTAGGAGTTGTGGCCTAGTTGGTAACTCCTCAGGTTGGCTTTTGATTGTTTTCATTTTCTATTTGTGTTTTTGACTGTCACATTCAATAAGCATCTGAAAGTCGGCTATGATGGCCTTTTTTTTTTTTTTTCTTCACATGAGCGGCAGCATATTTGAAGCTCGCTCAGAATTAAAAGTTTAGCTCACAACAAAAAGCTAAATCATAAGTCAAAATAACATTGAATTTTGGCATGACCAAATAGTTGGAAGGCAGTAAAAACGCTACAGTACATTGTCATCGCTGGCTGTAGCTTTTTATATTGACCATAAAAATATTGAGAGATTGTCTCAGAATTGGTCGTAAAGCAACTTTGCATAAACAGCCGACATCCAAGACATGAATTCCATCAAATAAAAATCCAATCACACTAATAAAGATCTTAAATTACCGTAATTTCCGCACAATAAGACGCACCTAAAAGCATTCAATTTTCTCAAAAGCAGACAGTGCGCCTTAAAATCCGCGCCTTTTATATGGCTCAATATTCAGATTTCTTGGATGTAGTATTTTAAATGTTCTGTAAAGCCCTTTGTTACAGCTGCAGCTGTTGTGAAAGCTCTATATTAAGAAAATTGTATTGTATTGTATTCCCTTTAGCGTAGCTTCATCCAGTGGATGCATAAGCAACTGCTGCCACAATTGTGGCTTCTATTCTGTGCGCATTATAACGCGGTGCGCCCGATATATGCAAATTGTTTTACAATAGGCCATTTATTGACGCTGCGCCTTCTACCCCGAAGCGCCTTATAATGCGGAAAATACAGTAGGACCTCTCATGGCATATCAAAACTGAGCATTGTTGTATTTGTGAAGGCCCAATTTTTCGAAGAAGTTGATGTAAATGTAAACATAAAGCACCCAGCAGTATTCATTATGTTCCAATGGAGCTCTTGATGCACTGTGTTCCAAATGCCCTGGACAGAAATTGGGAGAAAGGCTTTTGGGTACTCTACACACTCAACCTGGAATCTTCTGCAGAGTTAATCGAAGCTCAAGGAACTGGCGTCTTAAAGTGTTTTTAAATCGAAATTGACATAGAAAGACGTGGAAACGGCTTCCATAGATTGTCAATGTTTTGGCTTGGTTCTTTGAACCATTTATTCTTAGCCATCACTGAAAGACTTAAATGGTCCAAAATGGGATACTTTGTAAATTTGTTTGTAACTTTGTGTTTTGGCTGCTGCCCGCCTTGGTCAGGTCTGTCCCATTGTCCTTTATAAAATGCAAACAATCATATTGTATCATCCTTTGTTAGCACAGCCATTGTTTTCTCGAGCAGCTTCCAGATGTTTCCTGGAAGTTTTTTTTTTTTTTTTGGTTTTGTTTTTTTTCCTCTTCATCTGGGGAGTGCCACTGGGGGCGGTCGGGCGGGGTAAGGTTTGTGAACCAATACCTTGGCGGGAACTGATCATGACAAAACAAAACACGGGGAAATGAGAAGCCATCGGTCCAGGTTTGGGCTGAACAGAAGAGGTCTTTTGGTGGTTTCAAGGTAACTTTCTACATGATCCTAAGGAGACGTATAACTGCACTACTGTACATTAGAAGCATCCAACATATTTTGGTTTCCTGTCCGTTAGCTTCTTCTTACATCTGTATAACATTAAATTCTTCATTGGAAAAATATATTTGACCCTGGAATCGATTTAATCAAGTTCCCATTTTTATAATTCGGATTTTTTTTTGGGGGGGGGGGGTGCAAACAAATCCAATGTCAACCACCATCCCGAAACAAATCTAAATTCAAGTTTCCACTGTATTATCTGTTGTAAAGTGAGACGAGCATTTTCTTTAACAAAGTGTCCCATAAATGCAGCTTGACTCCTCCATGCCTGCCTTAAAGGCTTAATGTGGTTCACTATGTCAACTAAGCCATGCACTCTCTTCCGCCAGGAAACTCCTAAGCTGAACTTGGACAGTGAATGAAGACGCTGGCTGTGACGCAGACGGACGGATGCCTTCGCCCCACATTGTTACAAACCCCTGGCGAGCTGCTGGGACTAGCAACCAATCACTCGAATGCGGCCCAGTTCTCGTTGCGGGTTCCAAAAAGACCTGACTTTAAGGTTTCGATCTGAGTTTGGACGAGCCAAAAGGTTATTCGCACATCGCCTTTGATTACTTTCACCTCCTGTGACTCCAAATGCTGAAGGTGGTCAACTTTATTTCCTCCTAGAAAAGCGCTATGCGCTGTGTCCTTGGACTTAGAATAGTAGTAATGACCTCAAGGCCTCCTTGTTCTTTGAGTCCTTCAGAACTTACCAGCAGTGTTTTAGCTGTCGCTCTGATGCAGGCAAAGCCGAAATCAGTTTAGGTTGGTTTGATACTTGAAAATGTTAAATTCTGACGCGAGGAATTCAAGTTCTCACTTCCGAGATTTGTTTCAGTTGTTGCTTTGTTTTGAATATGTAGTGGCAGTTGCAAAACCTGAGCTTAAACTTAGTGGAAAAACTGGAGACATATATGTTTGTTTTTGTTTTTTTAAATTATTTTGTGCAGAAATGAGTGCCTTCACTCCAAAATATAGACATTGTCTTTAAATGTTATATTTTTCCATGTTTCCTTTGGCAAAATAGGACAGGAAATCTGCCTCTGATTTGTCACCATGTCGTCTCGAAAATGTTAGGACAGGACATCTGCCTCTGATTTGTCACCATGTCATCTAGAAGATGTTTTAACAAGCATCTTTTGACTCCCAAGTTGTGATTGTAGTTTTCAGTTTATTTGGTTTTAGGTTGATACCTTTGCGTGAGGAAAGCCTTGCTTTGTTTCTCGGTACGAGCTTTGTTCTTTGAAAGTTGTGAGTTTGGTTGACATTTGTTTTAAGTGCATAGAACATACAAATCAAGTCTGTGCAAAAAAAAAAAAAAAAAAAAAAAAGAAAGTTGAAGGATCAACAAAAGCATGGCACAAACTGCTGTTTTGTTATTAAAATAGAGGCTTTAATTAACATATGTCCTGTTGCACTTTTGTATTTGCACCATAAATGAAACTGACTGTAAAGAATTAATCTATTAAAGTTTTTTTTTCCCCTTGGGTATTTCTGTCTCTTCACTTCTTTGTATAGAAATACCTCCCTGGTATCACACGACTTCCTGTTCCCTGTGAAACGGGGCCTTCTGTTTCTGATCACAATCTGTAATTGCGTTAGTCAATCTACCCAATCGTTAGTTGTGTCCTCAATTTTTGTTGTTTGTTTGTAGAGGTCCTTTGCCAGCCACCCTACCTTGTAGCGTGCCCCAGGGTTCCGTTTTGGGACCACCAGTAATGCTATATTCCTGTTTACCGGTACCTGTAGATTCATCAACAAATTGAAAGTATTTCAAAATCATTGTCCCATTGACTTTGTCTCTATACCTGCTCTATTCAAAAAATAAATTTTTAAAGTTTACACGAGGATCATTTAAAGGCTTTTGATTGCCGCGACCAGTCCACAGCCCTGCTTGTCGCTAAAATTCATCTGTGCTATCCTACAGCTCATCCACTGCCTATAGAATATGGATGTTTGGAAACGTGTACTTCTTTTTCCACAGTAGCCACATTGCTATACTCGGGTGTGATTCCTCCTTTGAACGTGGAGGGATTACACATTCATTATTACCTTGTAACTGGACTCTTGAATTTGACTTACTGGTTCTCAATGACTATAAATGGTTCAGAAGATGGATGGCTCGATGGAACTGGTCCAGAAAGTGACATTGCTTGTCCCGTGTCACCTGCTCGTTCGGGCCGCTTGATGTGGTTAATGTTCTCCATCTCTAGTATTACCTGACCTAAGTGTGAAAGAAGAGGCTGTGTTTTGATTGATGGGGATTGTGCGCACAATTGTTGACAAAAATAAAGTGTGGTTGACTGGTTAGTGCGTCAGCCTGCAGACGTGTAGGGTTCAATTCGATTATTTGGATGTATAAAAGTTAAAGAAAAATGAATTAGTGAAGTTGCCATCCACGTTTATAGAATTTAAGTAAACTGAAAAACGTGTTTTTGAAAGACAACATTGAAAATGTCATTTTTAAACCGAAATAAACATGCTTACACACTCAAATTGTGTTTCCTTTTTAAGAAACTGAGGTTTATCATGACAACTGCGTGTTCGAAAATTAATATTGCAAAATTAAATTGCACAATATTAAAATTTAAATATTGCTTTTATTGACACTGTCAGAGAGGCAGCCTTTTTTCTCAGTAGTTTCAACATGTCCATGTTGAACTGAATCAAGCTTGTAGCAGTACCGTTTAATGGTAAAATGACAGATTCAGTGTGAAATACTGTATTTCCTTCCGCAACTGTGAATATATTTGATTATATCATAATATACATAGTTCTGCACAAAAATGGGAACGTGTGATGTTAAAGAGGAACAACCAAACTCACAGGCCCTCAACTGACCCTTTGAGTTTGTTATCCCTCGAAAATCCTTCAATCAACTTTGTTGGCTAATCCCCGCCACCCCCACTTCATTTAGTTCTTAAGGAAACTTGGAGACTCACCAATAAGATTAAGTGGCTCAAACGTTTACTCTCAGTGACTGTTCTACTAACACATCAAACGCCTTTGTGTCCTCAGCAAAGTGACTGTGCAGGAGGATCGTCGCCAGTCAACAGAAAGACTGCCTTTTACTGGAATACCACGGCAACCAACCAGGCCCACATGGATTCTTTTTGACAACTCAGCAAGTTTGCGTGTGCCGGGACACTCATTTTCCGGCAGGGTTTCCTATTGTGCTTTTCTCTCTCTTTTTTTTTTTTTTTTTGGTGCTGTGTCGTCAGGGCTGACTTCCTGCTTTTAACCACAGATGCAATGGCTGTAGATGGCGCTCAGCCGCAGAGACGTTTGCAAAGTCGCCGTAGCACAATCAACTGCCTGTCAAAAGGTGCAGGAGACAAGAAGACGTTTCCGTTTTCTCAAAAGAATGCAGTGAAAGCGTGGAGCTCTCTGGAGAACCTGGACTCTCCGGAGTGCCCGGCGGGGGAAGAGAAACCCTACCAGCATCACAGCATCAAGGTTAATGTTGGCGGCAAAGTTTTCCACATCCCCAAAAAGTGTGCCATGAAATATCCTCACACTCGCATCGGCTCCCTCGCGGCCAGCACAGACAGAGCCCGACTCATCACCCTCTGCGACGACTACTCGGTAAAAAACAATGAATTCTTCTTTGACCACGATCCTGCTTTTTTCCACCACATCTGCCATTTTTATGCCAGCGGAGAGCTGTGGGTCATCAGAGAAATGTGTCCAATCAACTTTGAGGAGGAGATTGCATACTGGGGCTTGAGCCTCGAGGACACCACGCGCTGCTGCTGCATGGTGCTCGAGGAGAAGGTGGATGAAATGAAGGACAACCTGAAGGTGGAAAGGGAACTCATGGCTGAGATCGAAGTCAAGTACGACGATGAGTTATTCGAGGACATGCTGTTTGGGAAGATTCGAAAAAGCCTGTGGAACATCGTGGAGAATCCTTACTCTTCGATTCCGGCCAAAGCGTTCAGCGTGGTCTCCAACCTCTTTGTCCTCTTTTCTATTGTGGCAATGTCTCTCAACACGGTGGAGGAGCTTCAAAACTTTCGAGTTGGGGGAAAACCCCACATGGAGTGGGTGGAGATCGTCACCATTGTGTTCTTTGCCTTGGAGTATTTCACTCGCCTTGCCACCACGCCAAACCTGCAAATCTTTTTGAGGAGTGGGCTCAACTTTGTAGACATGGTGGCAGTCATGCCTTATTTCGCCCAGATCATCTTGGAAGCCGCTTTTGGCTCGGGGGACGGGAACACACACGAAGACCTCAGGACCCTGGCGAGCGTCAGCAAGCTCAGTCATGTCCTAAAAGTGGTCAAGCTGCTGAGGGTCTTTCGCATTTTAAAACTCGCCCGCCACTCAACCGGCATGAGGGCCTTTGGGTTCACGCTGCGCCAATGCTACCAGCAGGCCTCGTGCATATTGCTCTTCATTGCCATGGGAATTTTTACTTTCTCTGCTCTCCTGCATTCGGCCGAGAGGGAGACGGAGGGTTCGCCCATCAGCAGTATTCCGCATGCCTGGTGGTGGGCTGCAGTGAGTATAGATACTGTAGACACACACTGGTAATCATCTAATTCTACCTTCTGGGAGGTCATCAGATGAAGACGTGAAGTGCTTACTATGACACATCTCCATCCGGGAAAAAGTGAATAAGAAACTGCTTTGAAAAGGACAAGTACTCAACAGGTGATTGAGGGACTGCTTGGCATAGCACCAACTTCACGAGCAGACTCTACTGCTGAATTCATGAACTGAGCACGGTACAATCCGCTACGCCTTGCCTCAATCAGCTGTTGTCGACTCAAACAAATAAGCACATCTCTCTGAACACCGTCGTCACCTCCTCCACTCAGCGCGCAAATGACAGGCGTCCCATTAATTAGCTGGAATTTGCAATCGGCTCTTTTCAGTTTAGCGGTCAAATTTGGTTTGGTCCGTCACGTCCTTATTTGGTTTGCATCTCCACAGCTGCTGGTGGATTATCAGATGGCTTCATATAGTGTACTCCATAAAATGTACGCCAACATACCAGCGCCGCAGCTTGTAACTCGCCACCACGTTCAACAGAGACGTATACAACAAGTAGGAATGTCTTCAAATCCTTCCTCCATCCACTTTTGAGATGGCGCTTTTGTTTTTCCTCGCTTTCTGTTGCTGCCCAAATGAAAGTTGTTGGCTGTTTTACTGGCGTATTCTTGAGCCGGCAGCATGTGGCCTTCTGGTGAGCACACATCCCAGTGCTTGCATGGCTTTTTGGATTTTCTCCGGGTACTCCCGCTTTGTTTGTTTGTTTATTGTTTGTTGAACATAAAAACATATACAGTAATAAATTGACAGAAAGTAAGGTAAGTAAAATAGTAAAAAGGAAAGAGAAAACAGTCATCATACAACACAATTATTATGTTCAAAGGAGTAGGAAGAAGTAAAAAACTTACCTAGTCCTACCCCAAGTTATGTATTTATATATAAATAGATCATTGTTATATCAATCAGAAAAAAGGAAGAAAGAAAGAAGTCTCCATAAAAGCTCATGCTTTTACCCTTAACCGTGATATTTTTACAACTTTTGGTTTTTATCGGGATTTTATACATACACACCCTAGCACTTTCATATGTCGATTTTCTCTTGTATTCATAATGGATATTGCAGTACATGACTCCATTTATAAACTTAATTTTGATTTAATGAATGTTTAGAATTTATCACCTTAACTCTGATTGATGTAGGTTTTTTGTACTATTCTCTTGAATTTGTTTTTGAACTCAGCAAGCGATTTACTCATTTTCAGGTCCGTTTCAAAATTATTTCACAGATTAACACCTGTGAAATAATTTTGATTGCTTTCTCCTAAATTCCGAAAACATACACGTGAGCTAATTACCCAGCAAGGATAAATAACATTTTGGGGATTCTAAAAGGTAACTTTATCGAAAACTCTAAATTCTCCAGACTGTAGATTTAAATATGAGTGCGAATGGCTGTTTATCAACATCCAGTATAGGTGGCCTGCATTTGTCTGGCGACCAGCCCAGGATATACCCTTCCAGCATCACCCAGGACCCTAATGAGGATAAACATTACAGAAAATGACCTCCCACTGAACATTCGGCAAGCCCCCTCGCTGCCCATCTTCAAAACCCGCCTCAAAACTCACTTGTATTCTTTGGCATTTGACTCAGCATGACTTAGACTTGATCTTAGTTTTACTGTTTGGTGCTTCCTACCGTCTTTGTGACTGATTTATTGCTTTATTGTTGTATATATGATAGTTGCTCCATGTACAGCACTTTGCATGCAGCGATGGCTGTATGAAAGGACTCAATAAATACAATTGAGTTGAGTTGAGAAAAAAAATGGATGGGTGGATGTATTCTTAAACCTGCCATTTCAAATGAATCATTTTTATGAGAAGGAAATAACTCGTCAGTTCCCTTTTTTTTCTATCTTAGGTCAGCATCTCCACCGTGGGCTATGGGGACGTGGTCCCTGTGACCATTCTGGGCCGCATCGTGGCCTTTGGCTGCATCTCCTTCGGAATCATCCTGAACGGAATGCCTATCTCCTTCCTTTTCAATAAATTCTCAGATTACTACGCCAAGCTAAAGGCCCAAGAGTACAACACAATCTCAGTCCAACGCCGCTTGCAGCTGCGGAGACGCCTTCGACACAGGATGGACACGTGTTTTCAGCCCACGGAGGGAGTGGAGAGTCGTTCCAAAACATCCAGTGGCATTCCTCATTCAACCGATGGTTGAGAAGCAAAATTCAAACTTTAGTTTGAAATCATTGGTGCCTGCACATGAAAGTGATGATGACAAAAGTGTAGACAGTACATTAAACAATACATTGCTTGTCCAAATACATAACTTATGAGGACCAAATATAAATGACTTGTTAGAAGTGTGACAGTTTCCCACAAAATGTTTTTTGTGGGAAACTCTTAACACTTGATACTGTAATACCACTCAACACTTTCATTTGGTTAATAATTTGTAAAAATATCACCCACCTAACCTACACTTGTTTTTTTTTTTCCCCAAAATGACTGACCTTACCTTTTGAAATCCATACCACTGTTATTTGAACAAAACACTTAGAATTAATTATTCAATTAAATACACTGAATACTGGGTCTCTTAGTGTTCTATGAGTCTACAATAGCTACTGATATATATATATATATATATATATATATATACACACACAGTATATACACACACACACACACACACACACACACACAGTCTGTCTTCATAGCAAAAACAACTGCTAGTTATTTTAACACAAATATATACGTAATTTCAGCTTTAGCGGGATAAAACTTTCGTGTCTTCTGTATGATTAATAGTTTGTTTTTAATGACATATTTGGTCACATGGTACAAATGCACTGCAGACAGATTGATGTGTGTGATGTGTCTGAGGAGTCACATACATTTGTTTTGTCGAATGATTAACTGTGAAATCTATTATTTTTCCCAAACAATGATTTTCGTAGTCATCTAAAAAAAAAACAACCAAAAACATGTCACACTGATTCTGTCACTGCTCAACTGTGTCAACATTGTAGCCCAGCACACAATCTGAGGAAGTTACCAAATGGATTGAGTAATAGGGTCATATTGTGCAGTAAGGTCTTGATGTGCTGTTTACCTACAATGACTCACGATTTCCCGAATGTGCCCTCGACTCAGACATGAACCCACTGGATCCTATGATTGTGGTCTATTATAGTCATTTTCAGGTCTAAATCTTATTGTGTGGATGTGCCTTTCCTCTCCAGGCTACAGTCATCATTTGTATGGTTGGTTGATCCAAATCCATTCCGTGACCAAGCTTAAAGAGTACAGTATAATGAATACATTTTCTCCATTGAAATACAGTGAAATGCCATTAATTCGTCCCTTTCCCTCCCCCAAAATACTTAGGAAATCTTGTTTTTAAATGAAGAAAATATCTGATGGTGTGTTTGACAGTTATCTGGCCCCGCCTGTTCAGTGGGTGACAGTTTTACGACTGCGTTCAAACCAGCCTCCACTCGCAAAATCGAAGTCAAGTGAGCCGCCACTGCGATCGTCAATACTGTGCATTACGGTAATCTGTCGCCAGCGAGCGGCGTTTTGCGAGTGGAGGCTGGCTTGACCGCAGTGTTTTACTCGGCTGTGCTTCTGCACACGCTCACCACACGCGCTCGCTCAAAAAAAGCTGAAGGTCTCTGACAAAGTAAGTACTTTCACCCATTTCTCATTCTAACAGTTTACTATTTAGTATTGATCCCGGTTAAAATTATTAGAAAAGCGAAACATATTGATAACACTTCGGGTTTTTTTTTTGTTTGTTTGTTTTACCAAAACTGCGACATATCGAAAGGTTTGTTTCAGCTGCAGTTGTGGAAAGAAACATTTTTAGTTGTTCCAATTTCAAAGAAAATTAAAAATGACCTAACAAAAATACCGAAATTTACGGAAGAGGATTAGGGCCAATGAAGAAAAAAAAACAAGGTTGGCAAGATTTTCACTTTTATCTCAGAATTCTGACGTCAGAATTCTGACTTTATTCGCAGAAAATCAGAATTCTGACATTAATCTCAGAATTCTGACTTTAAAGTGTAATCTTATGTTAAATTATTAATTATTTTCATTTTATATTTGAGCATTATATTCTTTTGTGTTACAGTTACGTAGGTTATATTCCGTTTAATAATTGTTTAAACAAGTTTATGTTGATATTATCTGATTGGTTAAGGAAACCAAGAAGTGTTTTGTGTTACCGGGAAAGTGTGTTCTCGTCTCGTTCGTTCGTGCGGAGGTGCAGACGTGGGAAAATAAAAAGCTGCCTTCAAAGGATTCCATCTCTCCTTTTGCCCATTTCTAAAGTAGAGCTATCCACTACAAAACTATGAACCTCTCAATTTACAAAAGTGAGACTTTAATCTCAGAATTCTGATCTTGCTTCAGACAACAAAGTGTATGCAGGAAAGTGGTGAAGATTGCACAACTGTCTGTGTCTTATGTGTTGTGTTATTTTTGTTATTTTGACTTCAGGATGGCGCCGCGAGAGTGGCTGCCTTTCCAGCAGCTCCTATATTTTGTTGTTCTACGTCTTCCTTTCATAACTTTGCTGCTGTGAATTGGGAATTTCTCCATTGCGAGACTAATAAAGGTTTTCTGATCTGATTTAATTGTGACGTTCGTGGGGCTATGAATTGTCGGGGGACCATCAGCGTGTGGTGTGGCTTGGAAGAAAGGACATGTCGTCACCTAGCGACTTTTTGCGTGGCCGAGGAGTGTCGGAGGACATCCTTTCACTTTTGGAGGAGCAGAGGGTGAGTAAACAGTGCGTCGTGTTTGTTTCATTTGGTGGCTATCGTGTCCATAGTTAACGTGCTCCATGGAGCTTGTAACTCCGTTGCTAGTCCGAATGTCATGAATGGATGCACCCAGTTTACATTCGTGTGAATAGATAGAAAGTAACCAATTTAAATGGGTGCGTCCCTGTGACGCCACATAACGTTGTTAAAAACAACACCACTCTCGATATCGAACCCCTTTGTGTGGATGACCGTGGCCGGCTTGAGCATCATTGCAGCCTAATTACCGTGAACTGAACACACTGATCACGCGGGCGTGTCGTAGGAAGTATGTGCACACGCAGCTCTATTTGCTTTTAGACTACTTACTGAATATGAGTATACTTGAGTTTGAACTAACACAGTACCATGAGCGAGAACATTATTAAAAACTTTCAACAAGCATACGGTCATACAGTCATGTTTTCAAAATGTCCACCGTTGTTTTTTGTCAGATTGTAATTGTTGTCTCTTTTCTTGTACAGATAAAGTGACTGATGGAGGGTGCAACTCAAACAGTGTCTGGAAATCCAGATTTGGATGACTTGATCAAGCTATGCTTTAGACTTGGATTCAGCAATAAGGAAATACTTGCAATTTTAGCACATAATGCTCAAACTATTTTAAGTATTCGGACTCTGAAAAGGATATGCAAAAGACTTGGTCTTTTTCAAAGAAAGAACCAGTCAGACCTGGGAGACGTGTTGGCTTTTGTCCAGCATGAGATCCTGACGAGTGGACAGATGCAAGGTTATCGCTGCCTTCATCTGCCCTAGTCTACGCTGCCCTAGTCCAGGCCGGGCTGCGGCCGGCGTCGGTGACCACGCCCCTGCCGGTGCCATCGCGACCCGGCCGACCTCGGAACCTAACCAGGGGAGTGGTCCCCGACGCCGGCCGCGGCCCGGCCTGGACTAGGTTTTTTTTTTCTTCATTGGCCCTAATCCTCTTCCGTAGAAACTTCTGGAGTAATAAGAAAAACACAATCTTTTTATATCGGGAGTTGACACTTTTTTAATGGGAGTTCAGAAGCCTTTTTGACCGTCCACAGTTTAGTTGACAGGAATAATTTCACGTTTGGATGTATTCCAAGATATATTCCGTTCAAAAGGAAGGGAAGGGGCATTATCGCGTGGTTTTGACATTGCATGAACATTTCATGCCTGGCCAATTTCTTTTGCGGTCGATAGAATACCATAAAAGTTGACACCTTTGACAGTCAAATATCAAATAAGTCCATTTACCTATAAAAAGCGTCACATCAACGTCCGAAGTGATTTTTGTCTCTTAAAATTGATGGAGGTTTTTTTGGGGGGGTGGGCATCACTAGTGATGGCGGGATGAAGCCCCGTGAATGTATCGAGTCTTTTGGGCCAATTGCTTCGCCAAAAGGCTGATCAGTCGAGGCCTCATTTAATAGCTCATTTAGTAGTGCTGATATCTGCTGGTCATTTGATGGAACGCAGATGTTAGGTTAACAGGCAACAAACCAGTACAGTAATCCCTCGTTTATCGCGGTTAATGGGGACCAAAACCACCCGCGATAAACGAAAATCCGCGAAGTAGAGTCCAATTAACATAAATGGGTAAAAAAAAAAATAAATTAAAGTCCGCAAACGGTCCGCGAGAAGCTGCAAAACAACAGCGAGTCACATAGAGCAACATATACAGTACTGTACTCCATGTATATGTAAATAAATAAATAATTTTCATGTTTGAAAAAAATCCGCGATAAACGAACCCCGAAGTAGCGAGGGATCACTGTAAATCTGGGCACAAAATAATGGAAGTTTTGTCCATTAAATATTGTCCGCATATTTGTCAGTTGTATGTTCAGTTACTTGATGTGCTTGTGTAACTGGGACACACATTGGATAGAGGGAATGGTGTATTTTATTGATTTTTGTTAAGGAATAAAATCATTTTGACTGTGTTGGGGCTCAGTCGATTCCTTTTTTGGATATGATTTCCCCTGCCTTTGAGAAAACCGTCTCGCAGGGGACATTTGTTACATTTGTATCTACATATATAATGAATTGTAATTATTATATTTTGAGTCACACACACACAAAAAAAAGTGTGTTTATAAATATAGAGACCTAGGCTGTGCTTAATTATACATGTCTGTTTATACCTTGTTGGGAGATATCTGTTCGAAATGCTCCCAAATTGGTGAAGTCCTTCGCTTTTTGGGTGGCTCCATTCTCAAGCAGTCGAAGTGGCGCAGCAATGATCCAAGACTCACGTCAGACGGTCATGCGGGGGACTAACTTCCTGTTTATGGAGAGCAAATCACGATGTGAGTCAGTCACGTGATCGCTGAAAACTGGGCCTAATTTGCCTTCGGTCACGTGATATGAGGAAAAAAAACGAGAAGGGCCTAGATACGGGCTCCATTTAACCACGCCCCCTTTGTGCGGGGCATGACTCGCGACTCCAGTTCCATTTGTAACATCACTAGGCATCACGTGTTTATTTGAAAGATAAAAAAGGAGGTTAAAGCTAAATCACAATGATTTTCCATTACAACAGCCATTGAAAAGCAAGTTGTTTGACTTCTTGCCCCCACCGGCCCCAGCGCAGTCAGTTGCAGAACAGTGACCGTCACATCCTCAAATTTCTTAACATATCCACACATCGACTATTCCAGTGGTGTCAAACATACGGCCCACGGGCCGGATCCGGCCCGCAAAGGAGTTTAATCCGGCCCGCGAGATGATTATGTAAAGCAGTGGTGTCAAACATACGGCCCGCGGGTCTCACATTTACACATTTAATAGCACTCTCCTTAGTTTGTAAGGTGTAGGCAGGGATTACCTTTAGATTTTTTATGCATGTGTAAATGGTTTAAAACTTCCTTTCTTCATAAATCTTGTTTAATCGTAAAGTGCATTCCTGTATTTTTCAATACCAATTACTTGTTAAAGTTTGTACAATCAGTGGGATCAGTTGCAATGCATATATGTGAATGATAAAAGTAAATTGCACATTTGTCGAAGGAAATGTAAGGTGCTTCATGAAATATTTTGTAAAAGATATGTTCATTAAATTTCAACATTTTCCTAATGTTCTTGTGCTTCTTTATACCAAAACAAAGGAAAGACATATTGTTTTGGTTACTTAGAGCAAAGTATGGTATCATTTTAATGGTCCGGCCCACTTGACATCTACCGAGGCCGTATGTGGCCCACCATGTGAAATGAGTTTGACACCCCTGGACTATTCATTGCCATTTGTTAGCAACTAAGTATCATAGCAAGTACAGCATGATATATTGCCTAAAAAAGGTGAATAATTGCATCTGATGTAGGCCTATCTTAAATGTGACCAAGAGCTGCCGACAGGACAGTAAGAGAGAATTAAGGAAAATGTATTTTTTTTTTTTTTTAAACAAATGATAAGGCAAGTCCAAGTTGTAAAAGAAGTGTCGGTCATTTGATGAGATAGAAAGAATGAGAACAGTATACAAACTTCTGACTTTAGAAAACTATCAATGCTCAGTTTTGATCGATACATTCGAAGAGGTATATTTTTCATATTTAATAATACTTTTATGAATTTGTTAAAATGTAGTCCACTGAACTCATATGTTTCTACTTTACTCATTTCCATTCATCTATCCATTTTCTAATCCGCTTCTCCTCATGAGGGTCGCGGGCACGCTGGAGCCTATCTCAGCTGTTTTTTGGGTACACCCTGAAGTGGTTGCCAGCCAATCGCAGGGCACACATAGACAACAATTATACATGCTCACAATCGCATCTGGGGACAATTTAAAGTGATCCATAAAGTTGCCACGCATAATTTTGAAATGTGGGAGGAAATCAGAGTATCCGGAGAAAACACATGCGGGCACGAGGAGAGCATGCAAACTCCACACAGGAAGGTCGTAGCCGTACCGAAACGATGGTGCGGCATCGGGACTTTCGTTTCTCCTAAACCGATTCTTAGCTTGTATCAACTGCCGCATTCGGACAATTTAAAGTGATCCATAAAGTTGCCACGCATAATTTTGAAATGTGGGAGGAAATCAGAGTATCCGGAGAAAACACATGCGGGCACGAGGAGAGCATGCAAACTCCACACGGGAGGGTCTTAGCCGTACCGAAACGATGGTGCGGCATCGGGACTTTCGTTTCTCCTAAACCGATTCTTAGCTTGTATCAACTGCCGCATTCCAATGCTCTGTGCGTCTCCAGTAAGTAGTGTATCAAAGTTAACTGATGAGTGCTTCAAGGACGTAGTTTCACTGCGGGCATGAGGAAATTATACAGGCATGACTAAATGTGGGCATAAGTCACACTTCACTACCTACCTACCGACCAATTTAGCTACCTAGCTACTGACCGACCGACCTACCTATTTACCTGTCAAAAGTTTTTATCGTGCTATCGTTTCCTGTTTTTGTCTTATTTTAAAGTTATATAAAATAGCTGACCTGATTTATCAGCTGACCTGATTTATCAGCTGCTGCTTGTTGCAAAGAAAGTTCTTTTTACAGTGAAATATTTTCCAAACATAACTTCAGTGACTTTTGATCTTTACATCATACGAGACGACGGAATGGCAGTTGAGACGACGACACATCAGCAAAGACGCTCATGCTGGCCCGTGCCAAAAAAGGCTGCGGCCAAATCTGTGCCGGTGCAAAAAGTTGGTTGCACCTGCGCGACCAGTGCAAAAATTCACTAACTTTTAGATTTTAACTCAATTAACTTTCCTAAACTCAGCCCTGTTTTTGAGTAAAGCATAATCATGGGCGTTTCTGTACGCCGTTATGGGTTCGACCGTTTGTGTTTTATTGTGACGTCAGAAACGCGTGTGTGTCATACCGAGTTTATATTTGCTCATTTGTGTTTTTATTGGCTGTTAACAGGATTTTGTCATGTTGGGAAAAAGGGTGAGGTCAGTATCATGTCAAGGCGTTGAAGTTTTCCAGTCGTTCCAAAGCCTCCGTGTTGTAAAATCAGAGGTGAAAACTCTACTTCCAGTGAAGCTAGGACATTGTGTACAATGGTAGGTAACCATAAATCCTTTTCGACGTCTATTCAATCGGAATACACCACAAAAGCAAGTTCATGCTCAAACTGAAGAAATGTTTTTTTTTTTTTTTTTTTGGTGCAAATATTTACTCATTTTAGGCAGTCCAGCGAACCAGTGTTGAGCACGTCTGCCTTGCAGGTCTCAGATTTGGGCTTAGAATCATGGCAACAGCCTTCCGATGTTGAGTTTGCATTGTCTCCCCATGTTCACATTGGTTTATTCTCCGGGTACTCTGCCTTTCTCCTATATTCGGAAAACATGCATGTTAGGTTCATCAAACAGGTTGAAAATGATTTTCAAAGCATAGTACTCCATTGTATTCTGCCTTTATTAATGTTTTACGCAATGTCCAAACTTCATTAGAATTGGTGTTTGCGAAATGATTCTAAATACCTTCCACCACGCGTGCAACTTATTCCACCTATAAGACGGAAACATGGCAATGAGTATTCACTTTCCATCCCACACCCAACTGCAGCAGCTGCGAGCATTTTTGCCAGGCCACCTCATGTGTGTTTTTGAGCTCACGTCAGCACCTCGAATGTGAAAGTATGGCTGAGAGCAGACAGCCACAACTTTTTTTTTTTTGGAGTGGAGCATTTAGTCAAATCTTCTAGAGTGGGCTCAAAATTGCTTACTGTGGGGTTGACACAAAACGGTATGATGGAAATCTCAGAATTTGACTGCGTCCCATTGTGCAACTAAAGAGTGAAAACAAGTAATCTTACATATTAAAAAGCATTTTTGAAATAGTAAAAAGGCTTCTTAGTTTTATATATACCCTAATAAAGTGTTGTTAATGAGTCACTTTTTAATTCCTGCCACAGGAAAAAATACGTGACCGGGTTGAAGTTTTATTGGAACAAACACAACAAGCAGTGATGTTATTTGGGGAGGAGGGGGGGGGGGTGCAAAGTTTCTCACTCCATTTTGTTAGCCTTTTTATGTGACATTGTTGATGTGAAGGGAATACAAAAGGGAATAAAAAGGTTAACTTTTTCTGCAATTTTGTGTGTGTTTCTGCATGTGTGTGCACGCGCGTGCGTGTGTGAGAGCGAGAGACTGTGTCATGTAAAATATTAAAAATACCTAATTGTAAAAATATCCAGTGGTAGGTCAGTAGCCCCTCAGCGGTTTGTGATCGCGTTTTACCATGACAGTGGTACAAAAACGAGAGGTCGCGGTACTACAGAGACTGATTTGACTAAATGACAGCAATCTTTACAGTAAACTCTGTTTCATTAATGTACTAAATTGCGCATTTGCACCCAGGATTATGTTTATAAATAAATCATGTCTTGTGCTTTGTTTTTTTTCTCTCAGCACAGTTCCGAGGATGACACACTTGAGACTTCGGACGTACTTGCTGCTTGGAATTCTCTCTGTGTTCATCATCATCCATCTCCTTGTGGATGTTATTGACCAAAAGAGCATTCGCCTCCAAGCAAGCATGAAAAAGGATCGAAATAGCATTATGGAGGCGACCAACCAGACCGATACCTTCTTTTGGCCGAGCCCAGTTTGTCCTCGAAACATGTCTGTAGCCAACATGAAAGGCTTCGACTCTCTTCCTGCTCATATTAGAGACTTTCTGTACTACCGCCACTGTCGCCGCTTCCCTCTGCTACTGGACCTGCCTGATAAATGTGGCGGAGTTGAACGGTCGGGGGACGTCTTCCTCCTATTGGTCATTAAAAGCTCTCCTGTGAATTACGAGCGCAGAGAGGTGCTGCGCAAGACCTGGGCGAAGGAGCGATTGCACAATGGGGTTTGGATCAGAAGGCTCTTCCTCTCGGGTACGACGAATCAAGGCTTTGAGAAGATGAGGCTGAATAAGCTCCTCCAAGCAGAGCAACGCGAGTACAACGATATTATCCAGTGGGACTTTACTGACTCCTTCTACAACCTCACCTTGAAGCAAGTACTTTTCCTGGAATGGATGGAAAGAAACTGTCCAAACGCTCGCTTTTTGTTCAACGGTGACGATGACGTTTTTGCCAACACGGACAATATGGTGGAGTTCCTCCAGAGCCTTAAAGACAACGATGGGCGCAAACACCTCTTCATCGGGCATCTGATCCAGAATGTTGGGCCCATTAGGTCATCTGGGAGCAAATATTACATCCCCGTTCAGGTGCATGAGTCAAACTCTTATCCGCCCTACTGCGGGGGTGGGGGTTTCTTGCTGTCGGGCTACACAGCTTTAGTCATACACAACATGTCCCGTTCCATTACCATTCTTCCCATCGATGACGTTTACATGGGGATGTGTCTGGCTAAAGCAGCGCTTGCGCCAAGCTCGCACATGGGAGTGAAGACAGCGGGACTGTACATCCCCGCCAGCAATGTCGACACGTATGACCCTTGCTACTATAAAGAAATGCTGCTGGTCCACCGATTCCTCCCAGCTCAGATGTACCTCATGTGGCAAAGAATACACGACCGTGCTCTCAAATGTGGTTCCTCTGGGTAGAGATGTAAGTCAACTGCGATTCTCAGGTGAAAGCAAATGACTCGTTTCCTGGATTCAAATGCAGCGCAGGCATGGTTGCCTGCGTCTGCATTGCTTGAACAGAGTTTTGCACTTTGATAAGGCCGACTGTCAACAACAAGGTCAGGCAGTCGGTCTCACCCTCTCGGCAGAACATGTCTTTTGTGGATGAGTGGCTATTGCCAGAATCTAGTGAATTTATTCTCATGAAAAATGTTTCAAGCACTCATATGTCCATCAACATACATTTTAATCATTACTCAATTAAAAACTTAAGATAGTTTATTTAAAACATAGTTTATTTAAAAAAAGAAATCTTGAGACTGTGTTTTTTTTTATTATATTCATATTTTATTATTTATGATAATGCTTATATTTTTTAAAATGGATTTTAAAAAAATCAAACATTTGACTCAACTAAATTTAGGTGGAAAAAATTGACAAAATGTAAAAAAAAAAAAAATTAAATACTTGATTATTGATGATGTAAATGCTTTGCAGGGCAGCTTAAAGAACAAAGCATATATGTAGCCCATTGGCCATACTTGCCCACCGGTGTTCTAGGCAGGGTACAACCGGGACTGGGCAGCCATCATCCATGGCCACATTAATTAGCGTTTCAATTTTTGTGTATTCCAAAAGAGAAACATCATTTCGTCTGAAGCGACAAAAAAAAAAAAAAAAAAAAACTGAGCGCATGAGATCGTATAAACTCCTCAGATGGAGCCTATCTGCAGTTTTTTTTTTCATGCAGCTTTCCGATACAGGTTTTAGTGCCCTTCTTTACTGCTTCTCACGGTGAAAAAATAATTTTGTCTCCAGTTTGCTGTACTTTTCGTCGTCCCTCTATAAAATATTAGTTGCTGTTCTGAGTGAGTTTGCTTCTGGCTGGAACTGTGAAATTAAGCATTCGACAACTTCTCTATCTTTCCGTACAATTAAAATGCACTGAAGTGTGTGCAACAGCAAGCAAAGAAAACCCAATCGCTATTTCCTTATTTGACATAGCAAGTAGTGCACTGTCACTATGACAACAAAAGGTTCCTGAAATTACAGGGGGAAACGGGTTGTAATATTTGGACCGATCAGATAACCAGTTAATGAACAACTAGGATTAATGTTACAATTGGGTATGGTCCAAAAATCAGAAGCTGCAGGAATGTGGTTCCATAATTTTCTTGCACATCTAATCTGATATGGACTACTATGGTTGTATGATAAACATTATAGCAAATTATTATTCTTGGCACTGCACACCAGAAGATTGCTGTTGGATTTCTTCTTTCTTTTTCACAATATTTTTTTTTGTTTTGTGTGTGTGTTATTGTTACACACTGAATGCCAATGTGTTGACAATGTATCATTTGATCTTGGAATGTGTTGATATTTAAATGAATATAAGAGAACTTCTATGTATAGTGTATTTTGAAAATGTATGTACTGGTACTGACATGTTATTTTAAATTAAAACAATGTATGATTTTGTAAAATGTAGGTTTTAATTATTGCCTCCGGGTTTCTAAGGTTGTATGATCGATCTACTGTGACTGAAGAAGATGTGGCTCATAAAGTTCCCCATTGCGATTTACAATGGAAACAGAGCCCGTTGTGTTCATTTTTTTTCTTCCGTTTTCTGTTTCCTCTCATAAGGACTCTGCAGGCAGAAGACACACTTGCACTTCAGTTTTTGTTCTGCAGAGTTGGATGTAAATATCTATTGAAGTCTGTTGATAAATAAATAGAAATGTTCTTGTCATGGCTTTGCTCTGTCATGTTTTTGTATCAACACCAGCTGGAGTGGAGGGCGTGGCTCTTCAGTGGTGCACCTGTGTCTGGTTTTCCAATCAAGCCTTGTCAAGTATTTAAGGACTGCCGAGTTATCAAGTCGCTGTTGGATTCTTGACTTTGTTTGCTGTTTTTGCACAAGTGTTGTTTTCTAGGCCTCTTCCATTTCTTTCATCGCCGTTTTGCTGTCTTAGTTCCTCGTTTTGTAAGTATTGTATTGGTATTATTTAGTCATTTTTTTGTGCTTGTTTGTCATGTAAATTTTTTTAGGCCTTGTTTTACCTGGTTACTTGTGACCAGCGCTTTCTGTTTAGACTCTGTTGGTTTTGCATATTTGATAGTATTTTTTTTCTCTGTGACCAGTAGCAGTAATTGTAGTACAACTTTAGATGTGCAAATATACAGAAAGTCCTTGAGCGCTTTGAAGTGTCTGGTGCTGTGGAATATAGATCAATGACAATTGTTCAAGTATGTACAGAGCTGGCGCTACAATGACAATTCAGACTTGGAGATGATGACTTTTTTTAAATGACTTTATTGTGACAGCATTCAACATCTAAACACTGCAGTACAAAAAAATGGAAAGGCGTACAAGGTTACTGACACATTTTATGTGCGTGCGCATGTGTTATAACCATTTAGCACAGAGGTGTTACACTCGAGGCTCAGGGGCCAGATGGGGCCCACCACTTCATTTTATGTGGCCCGTGGAAGCAAAAGAAATCTCGTATTGCAATTTCCAGGATTCTTGCTAAAATCTCATCCAAAATTTCTAATGTCATATGTAGATATAACAATTTTGTTACCAAGTCCCTTTCTACGGTAACTTGAACAACAGTTTAATGATCTATTAACCTTGATATTTGATTTCAAAACTAGCAGCGCTGGCGTTGAGCTGAATGAAACCTATGTGACAATTTGCATTTCTTTCCATAAATCTATAATTGTGGTCAGTCCACTAATAAAGATTTGCGGTGTTATTTCTACAAATTATTGACCAGTCTAGAGGGTTGAAATTGTCATGCTCTCTTTAATGAAGTCATGTTAATCGCTGAAGAAAAATGCTGTTTTTGGAGTGTCTTGAAAATTGAAGGAATTTTACTTAGTGCCAGCTATATGTAAATAAAATAAGGATGATAAACATTTGTATGGTTTCACAATCATAATGGCCCTCTATGGGAAACTAACTATAATATGGGTTGTGACAAAAAATGAATTTGATACCCCTGGTTTAGATCCCTCCGATTGGCTGGTAACCAGTTCAGGGGGTACCCCGCCTATTGCCCGAAGACAGTTGGGATAGGCTCCAGCACGTCCCACGACCCTCGTCAGGATAAGCGGATTAGAAGATGGTTTAGTTCCTGCTGCAAACCGCATGTGCAGATTATTTTAACGTGAGTTCAGCACTTGCAAACATGGCGTGGTGCCATTTTTGGGTCTCCCAGGCAGCCTCTCAGACTCTTCTTGCATGATGATTTCAATTTGATCCTCCAGGCTGGAGAAACACGGTCTCCCCTCAAAGTGGTAAACCCAACACTGCTTCATCAAACTGTACACCTGGTGTGACAGTGACAAGGTTTTCAGTGACATTGTATGCGCATACATTACTTAGAAATAAGCAATTCATTATCGAGTCAACACTTAGTTGATCGTTTGATCAATTGCGTGGAATTGATTAGTGCATTAATGGATTATTGAAAATGGCGTTCATCAAAGCTAATGAGCTCTATTTTTGTAGAGCCGCTTTCATTGGCCAGAACGAAGCTGCCTTTGTTCATTCCCACAATGGTGCATATGCCCCTTTTTAGCTGCGCCCGTCTCGAAAAATACCCAAAGAGAGAAAACTCCACCCATGCACACAGTTAGTTGGTACTTCGAAATTGACGTGCGCAAGCACAAAAATAGGGCCCATTTAGTTAATGATCAGACCGGGGCGAGCGCATCTTTATGATGCCTTGATGAATCATTCATAATGATTCATCAAGGCTTGAAAGAAAAAGTCGTTCTCTGTGGAGCAGTTTTTCAAATCAGTAATTTAATTTGAGGAGCAATTTTCTAATTTTTGGAGCAATTTTATTTCTTTGTTTTTTTGCAGGTTAATCCCAGGGAACAGAAGCAAGAGATTTAATAAACAAGAAAAATATGACGATATCATGAATGAACAATTGGTTTTCTATTATAGAATCAATAGTGTTTATTTCTTAAAAAACACTGTGTATAGCAGCAAACTTTATTTTCTTGTCTAGAAGCAAACCTAAATTCATTAAAAAAAGATCTGCTGTGATGTAATTTTATGCTATAGTTTACAAAAAAATCATTCCTTTTTATCTATTTGTTCTATGAAGCGCTACAAAAAGAGTACAAACAAAACTTTTCTCAGTTTTAAGTTTTTAACTTTTTTTTTTCCATCTTAACTATTTATAAAGTGAAAAAAAACCTCCACAACACAATATAAATGTATATGTAAAACAAAAAGTGGGTGGGCTTGAACAGGTTAATGGCAAGTCAGGTACAAATTGTGTAGTTTACGAATGCAATTTTTTTCCCGACATGCATGCAAAGAATAATGTGTCATGACAACATGAGGTTATCAATAAGATGGTGTCTATTTCACCTAATGAATCTATAGCAGGAGTTACCTTGGGTGGGCAGTTTGGTGGGGGAGGCAACCTCCAGTTGTCCTTGAGGATATTTAGCAGATGCATTGAAATGGATAGTCCGTGGGCATTGGTTCCGATCTCCTGCATACATAGCTGGAACACGGACAAAGGATCAATATGCATGGTTTGATATCAATTAGGCCATCAATGAGGCGAGTGTCCCACCTTTTTGGGGCTGGAGTTCATATCACAGTAGGAAAAGAGCTCATGAAGAACAACTCCAAAACTCCACACATCTGACTTTTGGGAGAATCTCAACTCATTGATGGATTCGGGGGCATACCTGCATTGAAGACAGATGCATAACACTGATCAACATTTTTTGACAAACACACACACACATACATACACTGTGTGCATATATTTGTAACTCTGAGCAAAAGTATTGAAAATGGTTTGTCATACTGTCAAACGTAAATAACACTATCTTTGAAAGTGATTTGCTAGATGAACGTAAATAAGACTTGATATTTATTTGAAAGTCACATGAAATTTTTCACTCTTCTGTATTGTTTCCAAGCCTTCACCAAATCTTTTTTTTTTTTTTTTTGGGAGGAGGGTTGATCCCTTTAATCTTGATTGCACTGTGTGCAATGCATACTCCATAGGGTCTACATCTGGAAAATAACTTGGCCAGTCTAAAACCGTTCACTTTGTTCTTTTGGCTGTGTGATTTAGATCATGGCGGCCCGGTGTCGAGTGGTTCGCGCGTCGACCTCACAGTGCAGAGGTCTTGGGTTCGATCCCGGCTCTGGCCTTCCTGTGTGGAGTTTGCATGTTCTCCCTGTGCCTGCGTGGGTTTTCTCCGGGTACTCCGGTTTCCTCCCACATTCCAAAAACATGCGTGGCAGACTGATTGAACACTCCAAATTGTCCCGAGGTGTGAGTGTGTGCGCGGATGGTTGTTCGTTTCTGTGTACCCTGCGATTGGCTGGCAACCAGTTCAGGGTTCCTACTGCCCGAAGACGGCTGGGATAGGCTCCAGCGACCCTCGTGAGGATAAAGTGGATCAGGAAATGGGTGGCTTTAGATCATCGAGCGCTGGTTCGGTTAAGCGTCTGGCACACAGCACAGCATAAACATGCAAGGGGCGGGGCAATTTCATAGACTGACGAATATTTGCGCAGTTAGAAGCTGTCTGCGCCAGATGGGCGTCAACACAGCCGACTTCAACCGTGTCCAATCAATCGATTGGCTTCTTTCCATCCCTTTATACGTGGCACACCTGACTCTCATATAAAGT